CTGTGTGTGTATATACAGCTGGCGGGAGCAGCGGGAGCCCAGCGTGCTCCTCAGCCCGCCGTGGCCCAAGGGAGAAGCCCTGATGTCCTCGATGCACTCAGTGCTCCCACCAGAGATGCATCGCCCGGCACCTACCCAGAGGGTGGGTCGGTGGCAAGGAGGGGCTCGGCAGTCGCTTTCTGCTTTGTTTCTGTAATGGTGAGACCTCTAACCCCACGTGCTGGCCTGGTGGCTGCGCAGGAACACCCACTCAGGCAGCTGCCAGAGCTGTGGCCATCCTGCCCTTGCCGGCAGCCCAGGAAGGGAGCCTGGCATGTCTGTCATGCCCTGGCCGGCAGTGCCCTCCAACAGCTGCTCAGCTTGTGTGTGGATCTTGCAGGATGGAGCGGGCGAGGGGGCTGCACCTCACCCCCCTGGGCAGGATCTGCTCCTCACGGGTCTCACCTTGATGCCCAGATCCCACTGAGACCCATCACATCTCACAAGACATACTGCTGTGTTTTCTTCCCTGCTTTTCATCTTGAAAGACGTAACATAATCGAGGTTATCAGAAGGTGTTCACAGCTTTTTCCAATACTGGTTTTGGAAGCTGTGACCTTTTAACAAGGGTTTTGAACGTGACGGGAGGATGGTAAATGGGATCTGTGTATGAGGTTCATGGAGGTGTCCTCCCCAGCCACTTAGTGCTAGTGGGACCTCTGCTCGAGCACTGAGCCCAGTTTGGGGCACAACATTTCTGTAGATACAGACCAGAGAGCACAGAGAAAAGCATCTGGGAAGATGACCACCTTGTACACATGGTGAGGAGGGAAGGCTGAGGGGAGCCTGAGGAGCTGTATGAGTCTTGGAGTGTGTAAAAGGTAATGTCCCAGTCATAGGTAAAAATCCCTTTTCTGTTCTCCTTGAGTGGGACAAACAGTAGGAGCTCTTTCTAAGAGTGTGGGGAAGCACCGGAAGGTCACTCGGGGAGCTGCTGTCACTTGGAGGGCTTGAAAGGACTCAACAAGCCTGTTGCTCTTGAAGGGCAGGTAGAGGTGATCCTGCCAGAGGGTAGGGCATTAGGTGACCCTGAGAGACTCTTCCAAGGCTATTTGTTGTTTCTTTGGAAAGTGCTGAGCTTCCTTCTGGCTTGGGGTCCTTCTCTGTGTCTGGACATGGCACATTTGTGATTTCTTGGAGAGAAAAGTGCAACTGTGCTGCACTTCCGTGGGGTCTGCAGTGAGAGCAAACACCACCCATCCCAGCTGCTGGGAAGCTGCTACATGCTGTCCTTGTGGGCAGGATCCGCAGGCAATGCTGGGGCAGCGTGCTGGCAGCTGGCCTGGTCTCCAGCGTGCTGATCTCTGGACAGCCCGTATCCTTCAGGGACCTTGCTGCAGTAGCAGCTCAGAGGCTCCTACCTCCATGGCTGCTCTGTCTTGGATCACTGCAAGACATCTGACATTGTGCTTGCCAGCCCACCACCACCCATTCAAGACCTGATGTTTTCCTGGGCTTTTTATTCCAGCAACTCCATGGTGACCAAAGGATCCCATTCCCATCCTCTCTCCTGACACGCAAGACTTGTTTCAAGGTTTCCTCCTCTTCCTTGGCCTGCCCCTCTTCCCAGACTGATGATGTGGCAGGGTGCTTTGAAACCCATCAAGAAATGGCCGTACCATCCCTGCTTGGCTCCTTGCTCTCAGGACTTCAAGAACTGTCTGATGGCAGAGGTCAGTCCAGCCTGTCCTCTTCCAGAGGACCATGCTCTGCAGTGATGCTGTTGAGCATTTGTAGATCCAAGGGGTTTCAGTTGGAGAGAACTGCAGATTGCTTCAGATCAGATTTTCATGTGGTGGGGGCTGTTTTCATCCCAGTCTGCTCCACCTGCAGAGCCCTTGGTGAAGTAATGCATCTTCCAGAGCAGCAGCGGGTTTGGACACAAGAGTGTGTCAAGGTGGAGACTTTCTGCTGCCAGACTGCTCCTGTGGTTGATCACCTTAGTGGAAATATCATCTTTCCTGATCCAAATTTGTCTGTTTTCTCCTAAAAGGCAGTGGTTTTGTCTTCTCCCTCTGCCAGCAAGTACTCTCCTACCTCCTGACACCAGCATGGCAGCCCGCTGTCACCAGCTCACAGGGAACCATCTCTCCGTGTGACAGGATTTCAGTTGACTTTACAGTATATTTATTTGGGCTTGGTTGCAGCCCATGGGACTGCCCGTGTGGTGCGGCTGATCGTTTTGCCACCACGTTAATTGGCAATCCACCCTTGACAACGGCTGGCTGATCACAAGAGCACGCTGGCTTAAACCAAATGTCTTACAGATGCCAGCGACCCTGGAGTTATTGTGACTACTCAAAGCTAAGTATAAAATAACCAGGCTGCCATGGCGCTGCTCGGAGCGGTGCCGGCACCTTTTGCAATGAGATCTGTCCTCAGGTTGGGGCTGGCACCCGGGTCTGCGTTGGCAAAGCCAGGCAGGTTCTGGTGTTTGGGAGCTCTTGCCCGCTCCCTGGCCAGCGGGTATCGCTCATGTGCGTGCTCCCAGTTGCAGGTAGGGTTTTGGGGCTATCCAGCCTGCCTCCCCACGGGGGCTGCAGGCACATCCACGCACCCCTGGCAGGTCTCCACGCCAGCATGGACCTCAGGAGCACTGCAATGACCTCCCCTGACCAGCAGCCCAAGGGCAGACTGGCCAATGGGGCCTCACCGGGCAGAAGTTGCAAGATTGACCTTCTGTGATGGCCCAGCCACCGCCGTTGCCCACCTCCCTCCCTCCCTGGGCTGGCCCAGGCTGTATGCAGCACTCCTTGAGCTCTCCACCACACCTGCTCCAGCCAGAGTCATAGAGCCCCATGGAGGACATGGGCTCGGTATCCCCTCTACCCAGCAGGCAGGGGCTGACTGCTGCTCCCTGGCCCCAGTACCTGGCCAAGCTCATGTGCCTTTTCCAAAGCTGGAGGCTCTAGGAAGAGGCAGTGGTGCCAGACACAAGGGCTTGATCTGTGTGCTCTGGAGAGCTGCAGGAACTGGCCGTGCAGCCCCCCGCTGTCCCCTGTCTGTTGGAGGAGTGGGGTTCCATGTCCTCTCCATGCCTGCCGGCCTCTGAAGAGCCAGGCACAGAAGAGGAGCCTGCTCTGAAGACCTGTCTGGGGTTCTCCCAGCTGCCATGGAGAAGAACCCGACATCTTTTCTGTGCCAGCCTGCAGGACAGCCCTCGCCAGAGAGCCAGTGCCTAACTCAGCAGTGGCTGCTGCAGCAGAGGATGTGGGGAGATGTTTGAAAGCATTTAAAGACCTGTCCCCATCCCAGAACACATAAGCAGAGGTGCTCTGGCAGGAGACAGGGAGGACAGGCTGGCAGTAAGAGGCCCTGGAGCTGGACAGGGTTCCTGATGCTGGGAAAGAGCAGCTGGACCTACCCAGTGCTGCTTGCTAATGGGAGAAGCTCCACAGGGCCCCATCTCGTGGGGGTAAATAGCATCTCTGTCTACGTTAGACATGTGCACGTGTGCCCAGATTGAGCTTGCACTCTGCATTCCCTTGGTAGAGATGTCCTATGGGAAAGAGGACAATATTGACACACTTTTCCCCATGGCGCTGATGGAGCGAGGAGCAGATGCCGCAGTGAGCCTGTGGGAGAGCTTGAGGGGCTCTGCCTGCCACGGGTCTGGTTTGGCCGGGAGAAGCACCCTGCAGGTAGGTGGCAACCTTGGCACATTGGAAAACTTGTGCCAGCTGAAGAGTCTGGCAGTGTGCAGGACTTGGATTAAAACCAGCCCCTTGGCAGGGTAGAGGAACCTGCAGCTGGGTGGTAGCATGGGAGCCAGCTGCCCTCGAGCAGCATGCTGTGGTCACCGCTCTGGAGCCTGCACCAGGGCCTCAACAGGGGTAGTCTCCCATGGCTAAAACTGCAACGTCTCTTGCAAGGGTTTGGGGCTGACTAGACAGCAGCAGCCGTGATGAGTGGGTGTGTTTCTAAGCCATTGCCCATCCCCTAGCTAGCTTTCTGATGTTGGTGCCAGCGCATCAGGAGGGATGGTGCGCACAGTCTGTATATATACACACACAGAGGTAAAAATGTGGCCCCTGATCGCCCCTGTGAAGGTCTCTGCTTGTATCTAGCAGGGAAGCAGGTCCCTGTGATTGTGCCACCTCCGCCTGGTACAGCGATGCCTTCGGTGCCCAAGCCTGAGTCCTCTCTTGCAGTGTGTGATACAAAGGGTCAGAAAGGAGCTGGGGTAACCCTCAAACCTGCTCCTCAGCTTCTTGGTTTCCATCTGCACTGGGCAGATGGCCGTGGGCTTTCCCTCGAGAGGAAAGGGTGGGAAATAAGTAGAGACCATGGCTGTGGGCAGATGGCCATACGTCCTGGGTGCTGCTGGCTGCAAGCTGTCCCTGCTTTTATCCTCAGGAGCAGGCTCAGAGGGAGGCAGTGGTCCTGCACACAGCTCAGCCTGAGGGCTGCCCGCCCTGGTATCCTGCTCTCTGAGCTCTAGGCACAGAGTGAGGACACTCCAGTGCTGTGGCTGCTGCCCCCGGTGTCGCAGTGACAGCAGGGCAGGAAGCATGTCTGCAACCCCAGTGCTGGCCCACAGCAGCAGGCACGGTGGCATGGTGGCCAGGGCACGGATGTGGCTGTCTGACATAGCAGGGCTTGCTGTGGCAGGGCAGAAACCTTTCCTATGGAGTGGAAGGTACAGGCTGAAACACTGGTGTCCAGTAACTGCCCAGTGCTGGTACAGGGTGGCTGAGCCATTGCACAGGGTGCCACAGCGCAGGGTGTCCCCAGCAGCCGTGCCTGACCCCCCCAGTGGCTGGTGAAGTCGCCGTGCAGCAGAAAAACCTGAAGCTTTTCTGATCTCGTACTCACTGCTCAGGAACTGCCCAGCAATCTTGGCATCTTGTTGTCTCTCTGCCCTGGAGCCCAAGCAGAGCGAGCTGCTGGTCCAGTCTGGGGTTATTGCTTGAACCACGTGCTGTGACCCCGGGGACACCAGCACCTTTGAGAGGAGAGGAGCAAAGCACACGGGTGGCTGGTCTCTGCTGGGCCCCACATGGCTGTTTCTTGTGCTGGGAGCGCTGCCGCTGCCTGGCCTGCTCTGGAGGGACAGGAGCCCTCTGTCCCGTCTCCGTGTCTGAAGTGTTTGTGTGTACGCCAGTGGCATCTATCCTCAGGTCCTGGGGTCAGTGGTCCCTGAGCATAGCAAACCGCCTGGCTGCTTGATTGACATTTTCTTGGCGGGGGGAAAGTGATGGTTTCCTGCTGTACTGTGTGAATCTGCTGTTTACCATGGGCGTGCCCAGGTAAGTGTGCATCCAGGCAGAGGCTGTCTGGGGCACTGGGTTCCTCGGAGGTTTCCTGGCTGCCTCTGCAGCGCTGGATTTATGCTGCCTGTCTGTGTGCCTTGCAGGCTCTGAAAAGGAAGCCGGACCTCTTCCTGTGTAGCAACCTGGATGTTAAAGCAGTGTTTCAGTGTGGTGAGTACCACGGGCACGCGTTCTAAATTGCTCTGCGGAGAAGCCAGCCTGCTCCTAGTGTGGAGCCAGGAGCTGGGGACCGCAGGGCTGGTTTGGGCTAGCATGGGGTGTTTTTGGCTGCTAACCTGAGCAATTTCTGTCCGCAGGTGTCCTTTCACTCAAATTTCCCGAGGCCCCAACAGTCAAAGCATCCTGCGGCTTTTTTGTGAGTATCGAGGCATTGTGCAGCCTCCTGAGAGCTGGGAGGGCAGGAGCAGGGCTGCAGGTTGGGCAAGGGTGTTGCGTTGTGGCACCCGCTCTGGCACTGAGCGGGCCGGGCTCTGTGTTGCAGACGGAGCTGCTGCCCCGCTGCGGAGAGATCGCCCCAGTGGGACAGGTCGTGCATGAGAACGGCAAAGTGTTGCTGCAGGCAGTGCTGGAGGTGAGAGACACCGGGACTGTGGGCAGCTTTGGGCTGTATTCCTGAGCAGCACCCCTGCAGAGCTGGGGTCAGAGAGCCTGGCAGCACGGGTGGGTGCAGGCAGGGTGACGCCAGGGGCTCAGCAGGGTCTGTCTGCTCTATGGCAGGGTGTCGGTGGCCAGGCTTCCCGCAGCCTCATGGATCACTTTGCAGAAATCCTCTTTGCCTTGAACAAGCACTGCTTCAGCTACCTGAGCGTCTGGATCAAGGAGGCCATGCAGCAGGACGGCTTCCCCTCAGCCCGTGTCAACCCCGAGCAGAAGGAGACCTTCAGCCAGCAGATCCTCAGGTTCGTGCACCTCTGCCTGTGGTGGCCGCACTCCATGTGCGGTGGGAATGACCCTCCTGCATGGCCTGGTGTGTCCCCCCCCGATTCATGTTTGTCCCTTCCCTCTGTCTTAGCAGAGAGCGTGTGAACAAGCGGCGAGTGAAGGAGATGGTGAAGGAGTTCACCTTGCTGTGCCGAGGGCTGCATGGCACGGAGTACACAGCAGACTACTGAGCACCTGGCCAGGACCGCGGACAATTTGCCCAGACCAGCTCTTTCCCGCAAGGAAGCCCCCCATCCTCCCCGCCCTGCTGCAGTACGGCTCGTAGAATAACCCTCCACCTAGACTTAACCCACTCGGGACGCTCCTCAGCTAGATTTGGTGGCTGCATCTTGGTGTCAGCATCTTTTTTTTCCCCCAGCATGCTCCCCCCTCGCAGGGGACGGGAGTGCCGGCTGCAGGAGGGGGCAGCGGGGGGG